CCCCAAAACCCCAAAACCCCAAAACCCCATATATCAGTTATAAGAGACAAGTTTAAGTTTTTTAATTATACTTAAAAAAATATAAAAAAATGCCGAAAGTGAAATAAATCCAAAATTCTCAAGAGGAGATTAAAATGGGTAAAAATTAAAATGAAGAACAAACTTGTAAAAAGAAAAGAGAACTAAAGGCTGAAAGTAAATCAAAATCGAATTCACCAGGTGAGTCATCAGAAAAATCTACTTAACCAAAAACACCTAAATAAAAAAAATCAAAAGCTAAGGCTACCACAAAGGATAAGCCTAAAGTTGAAAAATAAGATAATATTGATTTGAAAATGATGCTTGCCTAAGTTTATGATCCAGATAAACTTCCAGATCCATCTGGTTATTATATGTCTGAAAAATTAGATGGTGTGCGCTGCTATTGGAATGGGAAGTAGCTATATTCGAGGAATGGAAAAGTATTTTATCCACCCAAGTATTTTATTGAGGCTTTGCCAAAGGATTTTGAACTGGATGGAGAACTTTGGACTAAGAGAGATGATTTCTAGAAATGTGTTAGCATTGTAAAGAGATAAGATCAAAACGATGAGTGGAAAACTATTAAGTATATGGTTTTTGATACTCCTGGCATGAAAAATGAACCATTTAAAGTGAGATTAAAGAAGTTTAAGCAAGTTTGTGAAGAATCATAAAGCCCATATCTTGTTGCCCTTGATCATTAAAAGTGTAAAGGTCATGAATAATTAATGATCGAGATGGATCGAATTGTTGATGAAGGTGGAGAAGGTGTAATGTTGAGAGATCCTGAAAGTAAATATGAAGCAAAGAGAAGTGATAAATTATTAAAAGTAAAGAAATTCGATGATGCTGAAGCAACTATCATAGCTCATGAGAAGGGAGAGGGAAGATTAGTTGGCTTATTAGGGGCTATTAGAGTAAGAGATGATGAAGGCAAGGAATTCAAGATTGGATCAGGATTTAATGATAAATAAAGAGCTAATCCTCCAAAGATAGGCACCCGTGTGACATTTAAATATATGGGAAAAAGCAAAGGTGGTATTCCTAGATTTCCTATTTATTTGAGGGAGCATCCAGGGATGTGATGAATATTTTATAATGTTAGCAATTTAAGTATAAATTAATTTCTTTAACTTAATCTAATGAAATAATTAAGATTTTTTTAAAAATCCAATTTTATGGGGTTTTGGGGTTTTGGGGTTTTGGGG